GGAATCAAGGGACATCTGGCAACACTGAAGTTGCAGATATTTAATAGTTCTATCTAAATAAAATCTAGAACATCTAAGTTCTCTTAAATTGAAAACAAATCTCATACTACCAGAGCATTTGGCAAGTGTGACTGCATAAATATCTGTCAGTTAACAGACTATTTTCTTTATCTCTGTTTAATCAAAGTTTTTCTCTATATGTATCAACATTTACAAAGTTGAGCTATTATATTACATAAGGATAATGTTACATGAATGTAGTGTTATTATATGTTATTATGTGGAACAAAATTCTGTAAAGCTACTAGCATTTCAATTTTAAACTTTTTGGAATCAATTCAGTCTTTATTTTTGTTTCTACTCCATCCTTCTTTGTATTTCAGAGATGCCAAAGATCATACAGTATAGCATTTCTTATATCATGAGAAACATAGTACATAAAAATACCTGCAGTTGTTCATGAACGATTAAAATATTCAGTATCTAAATCAATTTCTTCTGAGCAATAGTTTCAGAAAAACAAGTTTTCTTCCTTAAATGCCTACATTTTATATCTGCAGTTTTTTTTTTATCTCCTTAATTGCTACTGGACAACAGCTACTGCCTCTTTTAAAGGATAGATTACTCCTGTGGTAGCATTATTAAGGTATCATAACTGCAGAGACTAGTATACATAGTTGTCAGGAATCAACACAACCCGAAGGCACAAATAATAATAAAAAATATATAAATATTTGAAAGCCTATTTTTATTTATAATTTCAGCTTTGAGGTCACACAAACTTCTGTGCAGTTCACCTTTAAAAAATAAAAAAAACATACTTCAGAGACAAAAAATGCAGCTAACTAAAAGAAAGAAAGAAACAGCAATCAAAGGAGTTTAATTTGGTCTTTAACAATTTGTGGAAAAGGATAAGGGAAGTGCAGATCTCCAGAGGGATAGCATTCCACAGCGCAGGAACGTGCTTCATGAGGCCCACAAAGTGATGAGGCCTACTTGATTGATGGGATCTGAAGTGTCTCCACTCCAGCTGGTCTCACTAGACTAGTGGAAAAATATGGAAAAAAGCATTCCTTCAAGTAGCGGTGAAGGGCATTATAGTGATAACCAGGACCTTGAATTGCAGCCAGAAGTCAACCGATAACTAATGTAGTTTGAAAAATAGTAGGGGTACAGTATGTGCTCGAATCATGGCACACTTCCTGTAACACTGCATTCCTGCAACGCTGCTCTGGACCAGTTGCAATTTCCCAGTCTTCTTCAAGACTGGGAAATTACATGTAGGCTTGAGTGACTGTCTTAAGGATCTCCCTATCCAACAAGGGTCACAACTGGCGTACCAGATGAATCTGTGCAAAGTGCTCCTTGGTCACAGCTGCTATCACAGAAGCAGTGAGTCCAAGAGGATTCTAGATTGTACACTAGTTTCACATGGGGAAGTGCAACCCCATTAAAGACTAAAGATGGAATGTCCTGAGAACTGTGGGTGGAGATGAGGGGATCAAACAAGCTGCCATTTTGTCTTATCAGGACAGAATCTGAGTATATTCCTTTCCATTCAAACCTGTCTAGCTCCCAGGCACTTGGGCAGGTCTTCAAAAGCATCTGTTTGTTGGCCCAAGGTCAAGAAGCATCACAGGATATCATCATCATATTGATCATACCTGATCCCAAACTGATGAGGTTCCCCAGAAATTTCAGGTAGATATTAAACAAAAGGAGATAAAAAGTCAAACCTTATAGCACTCCAGTTAAAAAGGATGCTGGGGAAAAAAAAATCAGAATTGGCACTTATTTATAGATATTTTGCCTGGATTCTCACATCTGCTTTATATTATTTACTTTTTTTGAACATCATTAATGTTTCTTATCTTTTTATGTATTAGTAATACCAGCAAAGAAAAAAATATGGTATATTATTTTTGTATCATGTATCATATATATGCCAGAAACAATACTCCCAAAACAGGAAGATCCAAGACAAAAAACATTAGTGAATAACTGCTGATTAATATCATTTGCCAGTAAAGAAAAGCTTACTATATTTATAGAATCAGCTGATCTTGCATCTACATATAGCAAATATTCTCTTTCACAAGCAAATATTCTCATATATTAACACATAATTACTATTACAGACAAATGTACACATTCTGCTTCCTCCATTCAGAAGGAACAGACAAAAAAGAGCAATAAAACAGGAGGGAGAAGAAAGAAGTGGTATGTCCAGGGAAGAAAATAAAAAAAGAGAAAAATCTTATTTAGGTGTTAAGGATTAAATAATTAATTGGCCAGATTACTTAGCTAAGCAATGACTGATTCTAAAGTGATTCTTCAAAGTTATCCAAGTTTTTAAAAAGTAGCAATGTTTGTAATCACTTATATCTCTTGCTTATTCCTTTGCTTTCTACAGATTTTTTTTCTAGAATAGAATAGAATAGAATAGAATAGAATAGAATAGAATAGAATAGAATACTTAATTGGCCAAGTGTGATTGGACACACAAGGAATTTGTCTTGGTGTAAATACTCTCAGTATACATAAAGAAAAGGTACATTCATTAAGAATCAAGAATCATAACGTACAACACTTAATGATAGTCATAGGGTACAATCAACAATCAAATCATACTAGGAAACAGTCAAGTGGGAGGGGATGGGTGATAAGGAGTGGTGAGAAGATTAACAGTAATAGTAGTGTACACTTTGTAAATAGTTGAACAGTGTTGAGGGAATTATTTGTTTAGAAGAGTGATAACTGTTCTTGTGTCTAGTTGTTTTGGTGTGCAGTACTCTATAGCGTCGTTTTGAGGGAAGGAGTTTAAACAGTTTATGTCTGAGATGTGAGGGGTCTGTAAATATTTTCACAGCCCTCTTTGACTCGTGCAGTATACAGGTCTTCGATTGAAGGCAGGTGGGTAAGTAATTGTTTTTTCTGCAGTCCTAATTATCCTCTGAAGTCTGTGTCTGTCCTGTTGGGTTTGCGGAACCAAACCGGACAGTTATAGAGGTGCAGATGATAGTCTCAATAATTCCTTTGTAGAACTGTATCAGCAGCTCCTTGGGCAGTTTGAGCTTTCTGAGTTGGCGCAGAAAGAACATTCTTTGTTGTGCTTTTTTGATGAAGTTTTTGATGTTAGGTGTCCATTTTAGATCATGTGATATAGTAGAACCTAGAAACTTGAAGGTCTCTACTGTTGATATTGTGTTGTCTAGTATTGTAAGAGGTGGTAGTATAGGAGGGTTTCTTCTAAAGTCTACCACCATTTCTAGGGTTTTGAGTGTGTTCAGTTCCAGTTACACCACGAGGCAAGTTTTATAACCTCCTGTCTGTATGCAGATTCATTGTTGTCTCGAATGAGACCAATCACTGTTGTGTCATCAGCAAACTTCAGTATTTTAACAGATGGATCGTTTGAGATGCAGTCATTGGTATATAGGGAGAAGAGAAGCGGAGATAGCACACAGCCTTGGGGGTCCCCTGTGCTGATTGTACAGGTATCGGATGTGATTCCGCCTAGCTTCACCTGCTGCTTCCTGTCTGTTAGGAAGCTTATGATCCACTTACAAGTGTGTTCAAGTACTGCTAGTTGGTTTAATCTACTTAGAAGAGTGTCTGGAATGATGGTATTGAATGCTGAACTGAAGTCCACAAAGAGGACCCATACGTAGGTATTTGGAGATTCAAGGTGTTGTAGGATGTAATGCAGAGCTATGTTAACAGCATCATCTGTCAATCTATTTGCTCGATATGCAAACTGCATGGGATCTAACAGCGGATCCGTGATGGTTTTCAGGTGGGACAGCCCAAGCCTTTCAAAGATTTTCATAACTACAGATGTTAGAGCAACTGGTCTGTAGTCATTCAGTTCCTTGATGGAGGGCTTCTTTGGCACTGGGATGACGGTAAAATGTTTGAAGCAGGAAGGAAAATAGCACATCTCTTTTCTATTCTTATCAATTAATGTAAAGTTAATCTTTCAGAATCAATGAAGTAAGGATGAGCCTTTCAATTCAATTCGGGGAAAGGCACTTCATACATAACTAGTCTGTCTGTATTTATTTTTGACCCAAGTTCTATTTTAGGTAATTAATTATTTGCATGAATGTCACAGACCTCTATTGGTATGCAAATTCCTACTTGCATGGAGGGAAGTGTATATCCATTTATTGGGTCCTGGATGATCAATGCAATGTGGGCGTCCAGCTACATTTACCTTGCTGCTATTATGTAGAAATCAGCTCCTACATAGAAAGTCTTTTTGACTGGACTACGGCTTTCTAAACTACCAATAAATGTGTGCTTCAAAAGGGCATTTATAGTGTTACTAAATCTGACTATGTGTTTAAAAGCAAAGGCCAAGACACAATTCCAATTATATTTGAAAGTGGAGATGTATAAGTGCACTTGCTTGATTCCATGTTATAGCACATGATTATATAAAAAATAATGTATCTTTATGAGCTGTGGGGGTTAACCAGGGGAAAAAATGCAAACAGACCAGTGCACAAAATGCTGATCTTTTATGAAAATATTTTTGCCTTCTAAAGTCACGACAAGTACCATAATTATAAATGCATTCAGACATTTCAGTGGTCCTTTGTGTATAATCTACAGCAGTTCAGAATTTCAGTAGATGTGATGTAATTCTTTACATCAATTATCAGGAGAACCTGTCTCCATAGCTGCCATTTTTATTTTCATAAAACTGATCCAGGAAAATAAATCATTTGGAGCAAAATATGTATCGCTTGAGAAACGAACCAATTACAGCCCTGTCATCCTCATATCTTGCCACGTCGTATTCAAAAGCATCGTGCATCACCCTGATCTTTTCAGACAGATTTGTGAACCATCTGCATGATTTCAGTAAATAATATGTCCAATTTCAGGGTGATATGCAACTTTGTTTGGAACTCATAGGCTTACAATTACAATCCTGCACATTTAATCGCTAAACATTTGATTTTTGTCATATCAAAACTACAATAAACTTTTACCTGAGCAGTTTGCTTGCTGGCCTGAAGTTGCTGTTTGGTTAGATGCAACTGTGATGTTAATTTTTTATTTGCTTCTCTGGACTTCTTGAGAGATGATACTGCTGTTCTTTTTGATTTCTGTACTACAGCTAACTGCTGCTGTAAAGATGTGATGCGTCCCCAAAGTGACACGGAGGAGCCAGGTTTCTGGATCATGATACTTCTTATCCTCTCTCTGTTAACTAAACAAGTTTAATATTGATCAATTATTAATCTGACACTTCAAATGTGTTAGTTTCAAAGAAATGGCTTTTTTTGGGGGGGGGGGGGGGTTGTTGCAAAAGATTTTCTGCAAAACATCCAATTGAACCAAACCCAAACTTTTCTTGCAACGAAACACAATATATACTGTATAGTTGCAAGGGTGTATGTTCATATGCCTTGATGCCAAAATTGCAAGAACATTATATTTTGCTGGCCAAAATGGTATACTTGCTTCATTTATATGACTTGCTCTTCTTAATCATATTATCCAGACTATATTAGCTATGCTTCCAAGCATAATCAGAGACAAACAAGTAACTACATTGCAAACTATGTTATTAGTACTCTGTATTTTTTGTAGTCTCCTAGTGAAAACTCTAACCTGAAACTCCCAAAAAATTCTAGCCTTCGAAGCCTTCTTCTAAAAGATGAAGTAGGCTGAAGTAAGATATTAAATTTTAAGAAGAATGAAACACATGCTTTTATTTAATATTAAACAACTATATCTGCCTGGCCCAGGTCCTTGGGAAGGGCTCAACAGACGGACAAAAATGCCAAATCCAGTATAAACATCTGGCTGACTGTACAAATGGTCCCAGAGGTTATCAGTACATTGGATACCATACTGCAAAATCTTGGACAGCACTTAGAAAATGAGCATGGACACAATTTCCATCTATCAATTAAAAAAGGCTACAGTGTTTGGATCCATAGATATACTATGCCAATCCATTAAGGTATTCTAGTTTAGGGGAAGAATTTGATGCATATGAAGGGCTAAAAGAACGGGCAGCTGTGACTTCACATTTTGATGTATATACTGTAGTAATAATAATCAACAATTATTTTTTTATAATTTTAAGATTGCAAAAAGGTTAGAATACTTTTTGCAGTCTTAAAAAAATCTGCTTTCTACCCTGAGTGAGGAGCATAGCCCATAAAGTCTGCAGTAATGAAGGAAATCGCTTTGAGAATACATAAAGGCAGCAGAGAAAAATACCTCCTCATATTAAGACAAGGTTAAGAAGCATAAAAGCAGGTATGCTCTCAGCAACTAGTCCATCCCACTTTAAGGAAATTCTTTTTACTTATTGATGTGTTCAGTTGATCTATCCTCTCTGATGCTGTTAGAGGTTTGAAATACAGCGTCTCAATTTGGCACTTTTTAAGCCACATTACACTGTCTGTTTTATCCAGCTGGTGTTATGTTGAAACCCCTGCTAGTGCACACTGAAGAAATTGGTCTCAAAATTCTGACTACTAGGGATTAGAGAGGGAAGGAGGAAATCAATTGGCTTTTTATAGATTGTTTTTTAAATAAAAAAGAGGGGGGCGGGGACACTGACAAACTTGGATTCTATTATAGTTAAACTGCATTTTTTTTTACTATAAGGGAATATGAAATCAAATTTCCTTAATGAAAAGATATCATTTTCTTGCTCTTTCTCAGAGAAGAGTAAATTCCTTTTCTTTAAATTATAATGATCCTGGTGCATCTGTTTTATTTTAGATATTTGTGAGCTAAATTGCTGACTACTCTCGATCCAGATGCTATCTATCCAGATATGTAAATGTAATTTTGCTCTTACAAAAGATTTTATGCATTCTTACCTTTGTAAGGATTGAATGCTGAATTTAGAATCTTTTTCCTTGGGAAAGTCGTTATTAGTTCACCTTTGTTTTTCTACAAACACAAGAAAAATTATTATATTCATAGGATTTACATGTTTCCATAAACACATACACTGTGTGTGTGTGTGGGGGGGGGAGTAACCCTCACCCAAAACCAGACAAACCATCACAGCAGGGACTGTCCCAAATTAGATCCTCGACTCACAATCAATTGATTACAAAGTGCTCCATTATCCCTAGACTACACCCAAATTATTCTCTTGGAGTGATTACCTTTAATTTAAGGACCACTGTTCTAGAATACTACTTTTTCATAACAATGCTTACCCTTGACTTTCCTTAATCTGTCTAAATATTTAATCAAATATGTGTTTCAATATCTGAACAGACATTTGCATCAGAACGTTGTCAGGTAGAAAGAGAATTTTCTGTTTGTTTGTTAATTGGTCAATCCAATTTAAATAGCTGTCCATCTCACAAAATAAGTGAATCCGGACAGAATAAAGCAAAGCTGAAGGAATTAATAAATATCTAAAACAATTATCATTGTTATTATTATTAAAAACTTAAAAACCATAGAAACAAAATTAAAACAAAGAAATAATAGGCATTAATATTTTTAAAAATTCTCTCTTTTTACAACTCTTTAATCCCTTAATTCAGGGTAGAGTACTAATAACATATTAACTGAAAAAGATAAGGCTGCAGCATCCTACAGATGGGACCAATTTATCATTGGAAAAAATGATAAAATATTTATGCAATATACTTAGTACAGTGGTTCTCAATCTTTTCTTCACTATGGACACCATAAAAACATTTTGTGGCCACGGACCATGGCTATGGGCCACCAAAACTTAACTCAATATTTAAACCATAACATTTCTTCAAACCTTGATGGACTACCACCACCCGTGATGACATCGCTTCCCCCACCAGTTGAGAACCACTGGCTTAATAAATCCATATTTTGTTTGACACAAGTAAAGATTTTCTTCTGTGTCTGACAATTGGATGGATCTTGTTATTGTCCCCTTGTACAAAAGCAAAAATTACAGGGGGATTAGAACATTAAATGTACCTGAAAGGGTATGAGAAATGTACATGACTACTTCAAAAAGAGGTAAGTAAAAACTTTAAAGAATAAAAGGCCTGTAGAAAGTGTTGTATAGAAAAGATGGCATCCTGACTGGTTTTCAAAAATATAAATGAATTTATGTAATATACATTTCATTGTTTTCTCTTACTTTTTTCTTTTTCCCCATTTGTTTTACTAATTACTTAATTTTCTTCTGTTTCCATAATGGTGCTTACTCAGGGAATAACACAATGGTATGTATGTGACGTATACTATTGCAAAATGCAATATAGGTCGGTTTTCACAAATATAATAGACAATGTTATTCAGTTACGTTTAAATATTTTTCAGTGGCATTAAAAAAGCAGCACAAGTGAATGCATTGAAGTAACTTAAATCTTACCTTCTTCTGACATAATTTGCTTTCATTTTCTAAACACATGCTGCTTGGGGTTATTTTATTATTCTCGGTCTTATTTTGTTCTTGCTGTTCATTTTTTTTTGTCAGTGAAATATGGTGTACTGCTCTTGTGTCCAGGCTTTCAGAATTCAGTATTTCAGAGTCACTAAGGAGAATGCATTTTTTTAAAAAAGGGTTTACTGGTCTTAGATTTAATTGTCTATAACTGACCAACTGTAGAACAAATATAGTCATTGCTGTAACCTCTGTACATTTAGAGTTATAGGGCATACACTTATCCAGAACCCTCACTGAGAACCTTCTATAGCCAAAGACATTTTTGGCAGGAGATGCATTCTATACTGCATGCTCCTGGGAATGACTCCCTTCTCTCAGTCATCCCTAGTTACCTGTGTAAATAAAAATATACAGAGGGAATCATCTTGGATAACACAAATAAAGTAATTACAGTATTTTTCACTCCATAAAATGCACTCCCCCCCCTCCCCAAAAAAAGTTGGTAGAAATGTCTGTGGGTCGGTGCTGGTCCTTTGGTGAATAACAGCCAAGCCGCAGAAGCAGGGTCCTTTTACAGTGCTGAACCCCGCCTCTTCTGTCTTTGTCATTGCCTGCCTCTTCTGTCTCTTTTCAAAGAAGTCAATAGGCAGAGCTGGCACATGAGAAGACACCTATTGTGGTCCTCTCAGGCTCTGCCTGATATTTTTTTTCTTGTTTTCCTCCTCTAAACCTAGGTGCATCTTATGGTCAGGTGCGTCTTATAGTGCGAAAAATGCGGTACTTGAAGAACCAAGCTGTGGGTAAGTGCTATTTCATTGTGCTATCCGTGCATCACAAACATAGGTGATTCACCAACTTTCCCATAGAAATGGGGCAAGTGGTCTTCTAAAAAAAAAAAAAAAAAAAGATAGATGACAGAACTACTTCTCCAAACAATACATCAATCCACACCTAAACATCAAAACATCAACGGAATTGATGTGACCATTTACAAATTATCAAACTGTGACAAAGTTTTACATGTTGAAGAGGGAGATTCACATCGAATAGGAAAAAGATGGAGGAGAAACTACAGTTCCTATAGAATATGCTCTGATCTGCAATTCAATATCTTAGCATAAGTAATGGAAGTTAACTGAGGAAAAATTATAGGGAGACCACTGGGCCAATTAACCTAAAAATCAGAAAGCATATTTTGTGGTATGTCTTAATTTCCTGATTTACTTAGCTCAGAGTGTTGAATGAAGTATGTTATTTTCCTTTTCTGAGCAGCATTTGTGACATTTGTTTCTTGAAACAGAATATAACACTGGGAATGCTTGGAATTCTGAAAGCAGGAAAGAATGAGCTCAAAAAGAGAGAACCTATAAACTCTAATCTCCTCATAAAAAAGAGACCATAGGGGTTTGACCATAGGTAGCAATTATCTTGTCAAGATCTCAGAAGTGGTTTGCCATTGTCTGCTTCCTACGGCTGAGAGCAAGTGACTGCTCCAAGGTCATCCAGATGAAATTGTGCCTAAGGCAGGACTAGAACTCCCTAATCTCCCAGTTTCTAGCCTGATACCTTAAATACTATACCAAACTGGTTCTCCCATAGAATGTTAGTCACCCCTAATATGTATGTAACAGGCTTTATGATTTGTAGAGGAGAAGGGGATCATACCAATAAATTAAAAATAATTGCAGGTCATACAGGAGTACTTGGTTCACTGATCAACTATTCAGCTAGTGAGGCAGCCGCAGAACTGGAACTCGTGGTGGCAATGAGGCCTAGGAGCACTGGAGGCAACAACGATGAATTTATTGGCTTCTTTAAAAAAAAACTCAGGTTTTTTTAAACCTGCAGGATATATGTTGTGCAGAACAATATCCATTGTTAGGACCAATTCAAGTTTGGCAATGACAAATTTGGCATGGGTAGCAACAAACTTTTAAATCTATATAATTGATGGCTCTAAAGAAGAAATTTCACAATAGGCAAGTTGCAAACAATTAATTTTAGAAGAAGTGAAGGTTTAGTGTGATTCTTATTTTCCTTTTTCTTCAACTGCAAAAAGCTGAGGGATAAGTTTAGAGTTGGTGGATTGATTATAGTAATGACTGCTAAAAAGCTATGCTTGGTACTGAGCTTGCTGAAACGAGCATCAGGTCCCTGATCATTAATGATAATTGGTGTGCCAGTCAAGCTGGTAGTGACATATAGACTATAGTCTACAGTGTACCCTTGACAATAAGCTTCCAATTGGAAGCTCTTTATCCCAAAGGAAAGTTAGCTGGAGTTATCAATTACAATTAACCTATTTCATACATTTTGGCATTATGGATGAGATCTCTCTTCAAGGTACAGAAAAGAAACATGAATATCCAGCTTTAAAGAACATATCCCAAACTAATATCTCCTGGGCACAAACTCAAAAGTAAGTAGTAATCCACCATCAATCTACTACAGCAAGAGATGACAACCTTTCAAATGTATTTACAAGCAGGACCAGGGATATGTTAGAGGCATTAAAAGGTGCCTCTCTAAAACAGTTAGTAAAAAGGCCAACAAGAAGGGACTATATTCTAAGTTTAATTTGACAAATGGGGATAGGATATTAAAAGTCGATGGGGAAAAACCTGGGTTCCAGTGATCACCAATGCTCCATAATGGTTTGATATTATTACCCAGCAAGAAAAAGGAGTCCTAATCCCACTCTATGGGGTTTTAGTCAGACCCTATTTGGAATATTGTGTCCAATTCTGGAGACCTCACTTTTAAAAAAAGATATTGATAAGATTGAGCAAGTCCAGAGACAAGTAATAAAAATGGTGCAAGGTTTGAGGGACAAAATATTTCTGAATATGTACAGCCTGGTAGATAGAAGGGAAAGAGAGGAAAAGGACATGACTGAAATCTTTAAATATATTAAGAGTGTGAGTAAGGTTCTAGAACGTGATATTTTCAATATTAAGCAAAAATCAAGAACACGGGCATAATATCAAACTGACAGGAGTGAAGCTCAAAAGTAACATGAGGAAGCATTACTTCACAAAAAGAATAGTGGAAGCCTGGAACCAAAGTTCAGTAGAGATAGTAGGTGTCATCAGTAACTGGATTTAACCATGCTTGGGATAAACACATGTCTATCATCCAACAAAAATTAAAATAAAAAAATAATTAAAAATTAAAAACAATAAACTAATTAAAAAGAAAAAAGAAAAAACTAAAGGGTAGACTTGATGGACCATTGAGTCTTTTTCTTTCATCAGTTTTCTATGTTTGTATTAATTTTTATATGATGTTTTATTATATGAAGAGCCATGGTGGCGCAGGGGTTAGAATGCAGTATTACAGGCTAATTCTGCAGACTGCCAACTGCCAGCAATTCAGCAGTTCAAGCCTCACTGGCTCAAGATTTGACTCAGCTTTCCATCTTTCTGAAGTCTATAAAATGACGACCCAAATTGTTGGGGAAAATATGCTGACTCTGTGTTTAGAGAGGGCTGTAAAGCACTGTGAAGCAATATATTAGTCTAAGTTTGATTGCTATTTCTATTATATTATTTATCGTAAAAAATAACTATAGACAGATATTCTAATTTTCTAAATGTCAAAGTCATACATTAAATAGCAACACAGTATCCTTCATATTTGCATTTCATTAGTTATTTTCTTGACGAGCAGTGTTAATGTACATGGCTATTATGATAACATTTTATATAAAAGCATATCTGTTTGAAGTATGACATATCCCATATGCATTTTCCATTGGGAAATTTGAGGCACGAAGAATCTCTTGCTCCAATTGTGTTAATATTTAGCAGATGTGATAAGTTATTTTAAAAAGTCTTCAGCATTGAATAATCTTAAATCATAGTTACCACTGGCTTTAATGGGGACTCAAAGCTTAATTAAACTGACAGAATAAGAACTTAGACTCCCAATTGTGAAGTCAGTGATTAAGTCCTACTTTCCTTAATTTGGATTATTTTCATACTTCTATTTTCTCTAACCACAAATAAGTTGCAATAGCAAAGAAAGAATTTATGGTTGTGGAGCCAGTAGTTGATGCCTAAAAATCTCTTCAAACAATTGTGTCTAATCTTATATTATTTGGAACTATTTGTATACACTTCCCTTCTATACGCTGGAGCAGTCATGAGGATGAAACCTTGAAACCAATTATGGTTTATTCATGGTTGTGCACATTAAGATAATTATGGAACAGATCATTTGTTTAAAGCAAATGTTGTACAAATCAACTTTTCATGAATTTAAACTATAAATAGCTGAATTTGAGTAGTAGACAAAATTTAAAGTTCTACAAATGAGAACTAGTAAGTTTTCTTTCTATCTTATATAAAAGCTAAACCATATCCAATTTTCCAGAGATCACTAATTAATAGTATTAATAAATCAATTATTTAGCAAATAACACAGTGGACAGTATCAATGATAAACTGTACAGTTTAGGTGTTGGACTACTATTAGAGAAACCCAGATGAAAGTCCACTTCAACTGTAGAAGCTCACTGGGTGATTTTTGAAAAACCAGTTATTTTTAAAAAAATCTACCTGCTCGGGTTTTTGCATGAAGCAAAATGGGAAGAAAAGCTATTATTTCAGTTATCTTAATGTACTATATGAGCTTGTAAGCTGTTGAAAGTTATTTGATGTTGAGAGTTTTTTTAAATCCATAAATCTGCATTCATACATACTTACTTTGACCCCTTAAGAAAAGGCAGGATATCAATTGAGCAATAAAAAAGTTCAGTACAAGGCCTGTCTGAAAAATATTTCTAATTGTCTCTGAATTATGTATATAAAGTCAAGTAAAAAATCAAGTAAAAAATAAAAAACTTTTCACTCACAAAATCACTATAAAACACCTGATTTCAGTCTTAGAAATAACTTTTGTTATGTTGTGGGATCTAAGGAACCTACGCAGTTCTACTTAGTTACAGAACTAATTTTCAACAATCATTCAGTTACACTCAGTACAATGACTGTGCATAAAACGTACATGAAATAATTAGTATGGATGGTCCTTAATTTAAAGGACACAAAATAGCTTGTAGACATCTGGTAGCAAGCTGAAATAGGTCATTCAAAATTTATCTAACCAAATTAAGGGGAAAAGTGTTTCTCCTCCTGGGTCGACATGTCACAAGATAACTAAACTGACTTCATAGGCCTGCCTGGGAATCCTTAACTGTCAGCAGTGAATATGCAAAGGGCCAGCAAATTAAATCAACCTGCCAAACTGTCAATTTCAAGTCTCATGACTACATGAAAATAGCATCACTAGAAGAAATCAAGCATTGCCTTCTTTTGGGTTTCCTGGCACCTATTCAAATACTCATGCAGTTGTGGCTAATTTTGCATGCAAATTTCAGTCAATAAACTCAGAACAAGACCTCCCAAGATATTTCAAAGACTCTGACAGTATTATTTCTGCATACCAAATCGACAGTAGTTGAAATTCAATTTCTATTTGCTAGTGTTTTACATATGCACAGTGTCCCTTCTACAGAGCTAAGTTAATGAGAGCTGTACCTGCTTTCACTCATATCTTCCCAGCCGTCCTTACTGAAGTTCTCAAGTGTACCGCTCATATCCTTGATGGACTGATTGCAAAGAGACTGATGTTCCACTAAGCTCTTTTTCTTTCCTGCTTTCAATTTAACATTGGCACCTGTATTCTTACACCTACATTGTCCACAAGCTGCTTCCACTGTGGCTTTGGAATCAACTGCTTTTGCTTTGTCCAGTAAGCTCTGTAGTTGTTTCACTTGAATCTGCAAATCCACATTTTCATTTTTCAATAAATTTCCTTCTGCCACTTGCCTCTTCAGAGAGGTGACCTGTTTTTCCAATCCATCTATTATTAACTGGAGCTTTGATTTGTCCTTCTTTGCTTCTGTCATCTTCTCCACCAGTATCTTCAGTTCTTTTTCTCTGTCTTCTGCAGCTCCTGAATGCTTTTTAAGCAATAGTTGTAGCTCACTCTTATCCTTAACATACCCTTTATTCATTTCCTTCAGCTTCTTGGATTCTTTTTCAAAGACCATTATTCTTCTTTCCAACTGTGAAATCTAAATAAATAAATAAAAACTTTTACTGTTTTACGTAGGGGCTGATCTTTTCATTATGACTTAATGTCCTATATAATCTCTGGAAATAAAATTGCATTCAGCACAACTATTTCAAATAACAAAGTGAAAAATAACTTCAAGGTAATGAGAAGGAATGCATTTGTATTGCAATAATACATATGTTAAAAAGGATGGATAATAAAATAAAGTAAAATTCCCTACACAGTGACACAAAAGTGATATGAAACAAAACAATGGATATTTATAACTTCAGTGATTGTTTAACTTTAAAAAAATTATTATGTAATAGTCTAGACTACAATTTTGGTTTGACTTTGGATCATGGTATAAAACAAAATTTGTTGTTGTAACTCTGTATTTCAGGTATTTATAATGAAATTCAGGTTGTCTTCCACAACAGTTCATTTAAGTAACTGTTCAAAGCTACAACAGCACTGAAAAAACTAGCTTATGACCATTTTTCACATTATGACCACTGAAGCATTGGTCATGTCATCAAAATTCAGACATTTGGCAAGTGACTCATATTTATGACAGTTGCAGTATCTCGGGGTCATGCGATCCTTTTACAACCTTCTGACAAGCAAAGTCAATGGGGAAACCAGATTCACTTAAAAACCATGTTACTAATTTAACAACTGCAGTGATTCACTTAACAACTGTGGCAAGAAATGTTGTAAAGTGGATCAGAACTCATTTAACAATGGTCTCACTTAGCAACAGAAATTTTGGATACAATTGTGGTTGTAAGTTGAGAACTACCTATACCATTTTTTGGTGGTTAAAAGAAAGGACGTTATACCAAAACATCGATAATGAATACTAAAATTGGTGATGCAGAAATTACCACACCAGGCAAAACTGTTATGATCACAGGAACAATATCTAAAGAAGTATTCATTCTTGCTTGCAATAAAACAACTAATAAGTGTTATGTCAATGTATCTTGTTGTAAGCAAATTTTTGAATTTGGGCTTAAGTAACTCACGCACTGAGATTGATTGCTGTGCCAGAAAAGAAATTTAACACCATAACTGAATGTTATTCACTCCAGAATTTCAAATTAGAAATTGCTCTAGAAGGAATTATTAAAGCTATTACTACCTACTATAATCCAGTAGTTTGGGAAAGACATCATCAAGGGTTCCTGTATTATGCCAAACCATTCTTGACAGTTATGTCATTAAAATTATGTATCATAAACTTCTTCTATCCCCTGGGTGACAGATGTGACATCCTCTATCACTCAATTTGTTTTCCATTACTCACTCTATCTTAAGATAAATGAATGTGAGCATTTCTTGTTCTCAGTTATTACTTTAATATGTTTGTCATTTAGTAATAATGAGATAGGAACCTTCATTACCTAGAAATATAGCAATATGTACAATCCCCCGGTCTGCTGAAAACTATTGTATTTACAAGCTATTTTACAAATAGAAAAATAAATGGACACAGCTAAACTCATTAGCTGGATGAATGACTTTCAGCCAGTCACTTCCTCAGCGAGAGAGAAAATAGGAGGCAGGAATACTAGGTTCAGTGCCTTGACTTGATCTATGTAGTTGTGTATGTGTTTGTGTGTGTATATGCTTATGTATGTCCATAAAAGTGCGTGTGTGCTTCATTATGGTTGGTTGTACAGTCAGCCAGACATTTAGACTGGATCTGGCATTTTCATCCACCTATCGAGGTCTCCCAAGGACCTGGGAAAGGCAGATGTGGTTGTCTGACGGTGTTAGAGGTATCGTCATAGTATTGTTATGAACTGTTACGAACAAAGCTGCCAATTGAATGATGGTGATTTTGTCAGTGCTGATAGTGTTAAAGTGGTGCTCCAGTTGCTTTGGGATTGCACTTAAGGACCCAATAACCACTGGCATTGTCTTGGCTTTCTTTTGTCACAGTCGTTTTACTTCTATTTTTGCAGGCCTTTGTGTTTTGTGATTTTTCTCCAGTTCGTTCTCTTCTCTCATATTACTACGTCCACTCTCAAGACTTTTTTGCCTTTCTCATCAATAATGATTAAGTCTGAGATGTTCTTGTTATTATTATTTTGCCACATAACATCTTCTCTGTTCTGTTCTGACATATTTTTAAAAAAACCTACATTAAATCTTTCAAGAAATAGGGATGATATGCAGATTTCCAAGACCTGATCCTAATTATTTGTTAATACAGTGCAAAATACATACAGAACATATGCAATGTTTTTCATCTTTAAAGCGAGACACACTTTATATTTATATTTATAAAACCCTATATTTAGAATAAGAGTAAGAATAATCCAACACTGAGAAAGTGCACATTTGTTTTTCTGCACAAACCATTAGCTTGAATGGAGCCAAATATAGAGCATTGATTTCTAACACAATTTTGACCGAATTATTTTGAGTTATGAGTGGTAATTTAAAAAAATAACACATGGCTTATACTCATCAATGTTGTCTTTTAATATATGATCCCTTACACTGAAATTGAGATTTAACATGTGGAGCTCAATATCTTACTGATTAGGATACCTTCTGTAATGTCTGTGCTGATATTTCTTTCACATTCTTCTTTGGAGTACTGTGGTTGACCTCATCTTCTTCACCAAGTTTATGGAGCACTTCTTGAAGGAAGCATAAATAATACATTGTAATTCCAGTAAATATTCCAGTAAAGCAATACTAAAGCATTTTAAAGAAATGAGTTCATTGACTAAGAATATTGTGGTCTATTTTCTTCTCAAGCCATTTGGTCAGTTTCAAATCAGTGACTGTTTAAAAAAAAACCTATGCTGTATAATTCTGGTAGCATCGTTATGATTAAGGCACATTAGATCTATAGGTTGAGAATGGTATACTTCCATTTGCATCTTCATACTTTTTAAGATTACGCCTCCTTGCTACAGAAAGAGATATATCTTTATACCTACATTGTCAGTTTTGTTCTCTGATTTGTATCCCTTTTAGGAGGAACAGAGTGCCGGGTAAAACAGAGCAAACAAAACTTTATGGACCACTTTTTGTGGGCAAAACTTTAACTTCTTGTTTTTGCTAGATGAAATATACACCGTATAGAATAAATCACATATGACATTCCACTGAAATGTTAGAGATTTAAAAGAATTAAAATCTAAAAAAAAACAACTGGTGACCAATAATTTATACACTGTTCTGAGTACTTGGCAATATCACAACCAATTCTCCCCAGACTAGCTCCAAACTTGACGTCTCAAAATTAGCTTGTGTAATGTATTAGCCATTTTGTACAAAAACGGATATAATCTGATAATTGTTTGAACACTTAACTGCTGTAGGAAAATTATTTCCGATATAACTTCTACCGCTATCCATAAGTCATTCCAATTAACTATCTCCTGGAAATTGTCAGGAACATGTATTCACCCACAAATACCTTGCTCTGTGTTTCATTTCTTAATTGCTGCACCCTTAAATCTGTAGTCTGCCCAAAAGTTGCTCCAATGTTTTCCAATGAAGTCAGTTCACATATTCAGCTGACTTTCATAAAATGCTCTACAGCTAACAATGGCGAAATGGTAAGTAGGTTATATAAAGGAAAATAATTATATCAAAATTGCTTAGAAGTTGTAAATATTAGGAAATAACATTCTTTATAAAATATACCTCTGAATATGCGGGAAACATTTCCTTTAACCACCCCATTCAGCACTATAAGTAGATAGAGTAGGTCAGGTATGATCTTCAATTTACAAACAAAGCAGAAGTGGAAGAAAAACATGCAACTCTCTGCAGGTTAGCAATCATCTCGGCATAAACAGTGACTAACAAGTTTGTTAGACTGAATTAGCCCTTTCTTTTGTCTTTGGAACTTGTCATGCCCAATTAAAACTTCTGTGTTCATGAAATAAATGGAGCAATACTCTAAAGATAACAGAAGAGGAAAAAAATTGTGCAGCTGGGGAATATGTACCTTTACCTTGATATAAATCTATTTTCACCCATGTTAGTTCCAAGCATAGTCCCTTAGCACAGTGGTACTACATACATTTTCTACTTTTAATCTTTTTCAAAATATTCACTCATTTGAATATCAATTGTAGCTTTTACATCTACATTTACTTTTCAGAGTTTTTCTTTTAGTTTTTAATAATAAACTGATCAAAGCATTCAATGTTGATCATATAACAGAATTAGATATATGAATTACATACAGCTACCATATATTAACAAATACTCTATATTTTAGGTAAGCCTTAAAAATTGAAAAGGGGTCTTTATATTTTTCCGTGTTCTAGAATATTCAGGACAAAAAATGTGACAGACAACATTGGGACTCATTAAAATATTCATTTCAGTCATGCAAATAATTTAAATTTATCTGTCAGAATGCATACCACATATGGTAACATCATCTTCATCCCTAATTTTTTGGTGGAATGATGCTATGAACAAAAGCTCTACCTAGCTGTGTTTAAGATAACATTTCTTCCCTATCTATTAGGTTCTCAGAGACCTTTCCTTTGAGCTATATAACAATATGGTCTTGTTTAAAGCAAGGAAGACCACTTAAAAAGACACACTCCTTACGCATATGGTTATGCTATCTCCCCAAATACATATTAGACTATTTGTGATTCCATGGTATTATATGACTTTTTTGAAAAAAAATCACATATTTTTGTATTGTTAATACTGACTCTTGCCTATGGCAGCAAAACCTAAAAAAGTATAGTCAAATTCAAATGAAAGTATTGTTTCATAATCCTCAATTAGTCACTAAGGAAATATGAATAACCAGTTTTAAAGGACCGGTGTGATTTAGTTTTATATCATTAAATAAGGTAAGAATCATGGTGGTGCAGTGATTAAAATGCAGCATTGCAGGCTAACTCTGCCCACTTCCAGGAGTTTGATCCTGACCAGCTCAAGGTAGACTCCTTCCGAAGTTGGTAAAAGGAGAACCCAGATTGTTGGGGGCAATATGCTCATGTTGTAAACCATCAGCAGAGAGTGCTGTACTATAAAGAAATATATGTCTAAATGCTAAATGCTATAAGTACTATATAATAACCAGCATAATGGATCAAATCATACATCCCTCTGAGGTTGCCTGTGACAGCTGCTATCTGGATCCAAAAGCAAAGCTTCAGCCAGTAATTGTTAGCATATCTCCTGGCGAACTGTTGGGCTTTACTACGAGCAGCTCGCAGAACCTATAGGTTATGCTCACTGGAACAGGCTTTATATGCAATTAAAGCTGTTCTCTTTTCCTCGATGGCTGGTGTCAGCTCCTCCAAATGGGCTTCAAACCAATCTTCTGTCTTTCTGGTCTCCTTACCAAATACTGACAAGGTGGTGTTATAAACAGCATTCTTGAAGTGTTCCCATCATTCAGATGCATTTGTTTCAGCCGGGCGTGGGAGAGTTTCCTTGAGTGCTTGAGCAAATTCCTCCACTCTGTCCTGTTTGCGAGTCAGTTACAGGTGAGGTCATCCAGGACTGAGCACAGCAGATGGTATGCTGGGTGCTGCACTACTCTGAGGTATATTCCAGACAAAATGTTGCAACTGAAGAAATTGAGTGCCTGTCTGTCCTGGAGGAGCTTGACAGTGAACCAACTTTAGAAGAACTCAACGGGGACCTGGATTCCCTTGCCTCCAAGGCACCCGGGGAAAGATAACATCCCTGCTGAAGTTCTGAAGTGCTGCAAAGAGATCATCCGCACTGAACTGCATGAAATATTCTGTCTTTGTTGGAGGGAAGGTGGAGGACATGAAGGATGCAAATATTGTCACACTGCGTAAGAACAAAGGCGACAGGGGTGACTGTAACAACTACCACAGCATCTCTCTTTTTAGTGTTGTAGGGAAGCTGCTTGCCCGTATTGTACCGAAGAGGTTCCAGGTGCTTGCAGAGAGAGTCTATCCGGAATCACAATGTGGATTCCAAGCCAACAGGTCTACTACTGATATGGTATTCTCCCTTAAGACAGTTGCAGTAGGGAACAAAGACAGCCACTTTTTGTAGCCTTCATAGATCTTATGCAGGCTTTTGACTTGGTTAGTAGGGATGGCCTATATAAAATCCTCCTCAAGATTGGATGTCCACCTCAGCTCCTCAACATTATCAGGTCCTTCCATGAGGAAATGAAGGGCACAATAGTTTTTGATGGCTTAACATTTGAAGTGGAGTGAAGCAGGGCTGTGTCCTCTCGCCAACTCTATTTGGGATCTTTTTTGCTGTCATGATGAAACACACTTTTGGAACTGCAACAGAGAATATTTATCTCTGGACCAGATCAGACGGAAAACTCTTTAATCTCTCTAGATTGAGAGCAAAGACTGAAGTCCAGCTGACATGCTTGCAGGATTTTCTCTTTGCTGATGATGCTGCCATTACTGCTCACTCTGCTGAAGACCTTCAACAACTTATGGATCATTTTAGCAAGGCCTGCCAAGATTTTGGACTAAAAATCAGCCTGAAAAAAACACAAGTCATGGGTCAGGACATGGATTCACCTCCCTGTATTACAATTTCTGCACAAGAACTGGAGGTCGTCGATGACTTTGTGCACCTTGGCTCAACTATCTCCAACACTCTCTCTTTAGACACTGAGCTAAATAAAAGTATTGGTAAAGCAGCCACCACATTTCCCAGACTTACAAAGAGTATGGCTTAATAAGAAGCTGTGGAACATACGAAGATTCAGGTCAATAGAGCCTTTGTCTTGAGCACACTCTTGTACTACAGCGAGTCTTAGACTATTACGCATGGCAGGAGAGAAAGTTGAACATCTTTCATATGTGCTGTCCTCGATGTATTCTTGGCATCACCTGGCATGACAAAGTTCCAAATAGTGCAGTCTTGGAACGTGCTGGAATTCCTAGCATGTGTGTACTATTGAAACAACGATGTCCATGCTGGCTTGGGCATGTCGTGAGGATGGCTGATGGTTGGATTCCAAAAGACCTCTTGTATGGAGAATTAGGGCAGGGAAAGCGCCCTAGAGGGAGACGACAGCTGCAATATAAGGATATCTGCAAGTGGGATCTAAAGGCCTTGGGAATGGACATCAACAGCTGGAAACCTTGACCTCTGATCGTTCAGCTTGGAGGCTAAAGATGCAGCATGGCCTTCTTCAATTTGAAGACACTCGTTCGGCAGGCTGAAGCAAAGAGGCAGTCCCGGAATCAGCAAAATCTGGGGGCTGGACAGGACACAGACTGTATCTGTCCTCAGTGTAGAAGGGATTGCCACTCTCAAAATTGGCCTTTTTAACCACACTAGATGCTGTTTTAGGACCTCTTTTCAGAGCACGATACCATAGTCTCTTGAGACTGAAGGATGCCAATGCCAATGAATCAAATGTGAAAGTGAAAGAGGTTCTCAAAAATGTTGTTTCTTCATATGTCTGAAGGAATCAAAATGTTATCATTACAAAAAGTAAAGAAACTATGAATGTGAACTGTAAAACAATTGCTGAGTTCATAATTTGGATTATAAACTTATAATTTTTTCATACAAATAGCACTTACAGACTTAGCTCGAAGTGTACAAGTACAAATAATATTCACCAACAATAACTGGGACCAGGAACTCTGTCACTAAACAACTTGGTCATAAGACATGAAGTCATGTGACTGCACCAACTTACGACAGCAGTTGCAGCAGTCCCAGTTGCCATCATTAGGCAAAACTTGCACATTCATAATACCCCGCGGTCACCATTTGTGACCTCCTGCTGGCTTCTCCATTAACTTTGCTTATTGAAACTTGCAGAGAAGATCACAAGTGGTACTCATATGGTTGAGGATGCTGCAACTATGGTAATTAGGAACTGGTTGCTTGAATAGTGATAACTTGACCACAGGGATGTTGCAATGATCACAGCTACAAGGAGATTAAGCGAAAAGTACTTGTAGATTATCACGATGGCTAAATCAAACTTACCTTCTCTTTCTTGCTGCAGACACATATTCAACTCTTGTATTGTAGTTTTATCTCTAGAGGCCTGCACTTTCATCTGATCCAGTTCCTCCTCCAAATTCAGTCTAGAAATACACATAAAGAATTCAGTATTACATAAAAAGAATGCCCCCAGAAAAGGTCAAAAAAGATACACGCTACAAAAACCGGAGCAGAATCAAAACTGTGGTACTAGGCTTGATCAATGCAATAGATTTATATAATCACACTTAATGTGGAAGATAGATAAAGAAAAGAAAGATATACAGTATCCCAACTTAGTGAAACAGAAGAGTCAATCCTTTTTATGGAGAGGATGGAAGGGAATTCGGAAGTTCTTAGATAATTCTTTGAGATATATCCTTGAAGGAATCAAGGAGGTTATTATCAATCAATGCTTGAAGGACATAATTTCACATCACATCACAGTAGAATAAAAAAAAGATCTGGTAATAATAAAATAGGAACACAGATATGCCTAGGACTATATCAGTGGCTATCTTGCTTCAAGGCCTATTGAAAAACCTAGATCTTTAAAATTTTGTGACAATACAATAGGGTCAGGGCCAGATAAGTTTGTCTCTTCAGCATAACTACAGGGATTGTCTATTGTTTAGTTTCTGAAGATGACAATCTTTTATAGATGGTACCTGGAACGGGACTATCTCTTACTGGATGGGCAAAACAACTACAGAAAAGTGGGCACCCAAATCCTAAACCATGAAGTGCTTTATAGGTGACAACCAATACCTTCAATTGTTCCTGGAAGCACAAGTGTAGCAAGTGGAGTAGATGAGCAAAACAGGAAGCACTGATAACTCATTGCAAGTTCCAATAGATTATGAGTCGTCTTCAAGGTGGCTCCATGTAAAAACATCACAGTAGTTAAAATCCTAAAGTGACTAAAGCTTGAGTAAAAGCTTGGATTGGAAAAAGTACTTCCCAAACTCCAAAAAGGGTGTCATTTGCCATGGGGTGAGTTAAAATCAGTATATGATGATATTTAATTGTACCTCTCTATCTCTGGCAACCTAAGGGATGCTCTTGATGTCCTGCCACAGTGCCTAGAGGCTGTGGGGGTCTGGAATGGGAACAACAGGCTCCAAATGAACCTTGATAAGACTGAGTGGTTTGATAAGACTGAGGACCTTCTGAATCTGGGATTTAGTATCTTTGGTATTGAATGGGGTATCTGTCTCAAACAGACTCAGTGCAAAATCTGGGAGTCTTTCTGGACTCATAACTCTTACTCAAGCATATGGCAATTCTGACTAGGAGGGCATTTGCACAACTTCATGTTATGCACCATTTGTACCCGTTCCTGGATTGTGAGGCTCTGCTTACAGTTACTCACATCCTGGTTATATCCCTGAAAGGTATCTGGAAGCTTCAACCCATGCAAAAGGATCTGGCAAGGGCAGTTATGCATGGCCCCCCAGGTCATACTTTAAACCTCTGCTCTGTGAACTGTAGTGATTACCAGTTTGCTTCTGGATCCAATTCAAGGTGCTGGTTTTGATCTTTAAAGCCCTACATGGCATGGGGTCTGGTTATCTGAAGGACTGTCTCTCCCTTATTACATCCACTTGTCCCATTAGGAGAGGCATGTTGTGGATCCCATGTCTCAATCTGGGTGGAGATATCCTTGAAGGAACCTTTGATGCACTTTATTACAAAGCCTTCCTTTGATCCTGGCATGTTACATAATTATTACTCTGTCTTCAATATTTCCCTTTTAGGGAAGACTATAGGAGCCATGGCTTAGGATTAATTTCAGAGCAACCCAGAGGAAACAGATTATCTGGATTCATTTAAATCAGGTTCTCATTTGGACTTCATATGAAAACTGTATGGTTTGTGCTGGCTGAGATCTATGTTGGGATCTAGATAGGGAGGTTGCATCCTTTCTGATACCCAAGTTTCATGGTGTGGAATGCTGTGGCCCAAAATTCTCTTTTGCTTTTCAGCCTCCACATTATGAACATCTTCCCTTTAGAGGTCAGGCTGGTCTCCTTGCTAATGGCCTTTTGGAAGCTTTTAAATATAAAGCAGTGGGCCTGTGGAGAATGGCAAATTGTCATTGTATATTTTCTATTATAGTGTTCTATAATTATTCTTATTAAATATTGTTTCTTTAATATTTTGTTATAGTCTGGAAATTTTTATTGTATTTTAGTATATATTATAGACTACCATGAATCTTAAAACATATAGTTGCATAATACAAATGGACAAAAATAAAAAACCTGCTTAGCTCCATAAAATTATAATGTTCTAGCAATTTCTAATTCAAATGAGTCTTCTCATTCTGATATCAGTAAAACTTACGTAATATAGAAGTGTTAATAGAAAACACCTTTCTAAGCTAGCTAACAACAGAACTCTGTTTCTTCAATGAATCTTTTGAATTTTTTGTCCTTTTATTCCATAAAGATACCAATAATAATCAAAGAGTCATGACAAATGTTATAAATTGCAAGTACTCTTCCTTTAGTGACCACAGTTGGGACAGGTAAATTAGTTGTTAAGTGAAGTTGCCATTAACTGTGACTGTGGTTATGCTCTTCCTTCACGGACTTGCGCATTCAGGTAGTAAATTTGAAGACTTCTTGCAAAGTTACTTTTTCATCACTGAAAACAGTTATTAAATGAGGATGTTTTTAAATAAGGACTACCTCTGAGATGAAAAGGATGGCATAGTTCGGTATACTTTTATGAAATCCACCTAGGTTTTTTTAGACTATATAATGAAGAATAATTTTGAACCAGACGTGATTTTTCAACAATCAAATATAAGCATAACAAAAAAAAATAAAAATTCCTTTGCTCATCCAACATTCAGGTGCATCTCTTTGCAACAAGGACAAAGCATAATCTTTCCAAAGATGCTGGTCAACTGATAGCATTAGAAAGACAGTTTGGAGCAGGTTCTGATCTCTGCTATGTGAGAAAGCAACCGCCTTGCCCCCAAAAAACACCCTATCACATACACTGAGGATAAGGCCATCGAAACAATGTCAGTTAATAATAACAGAATAGTAAAAACACTCTTTATTTTTTTTTAGCTTTACTTACGTTTCTGAAAATGATGAAATGAAAACCTTGGTTAATCTGGGCTATTTCAAAGTGATTTCAGTTTGGTAACACTCAGCTAGTCCAGGATCAACATATTCTAGTTTTTGCTAAATGAGCTTGCTTAATAGCTTTTGTAAATGATAGTTGGCTGAATTTAAAAACAAATAAAAGCTGGGGCAAACTGACCAGCTTATCATTCAAGATATACTGTAGGATAAATGAAGTTATCTTCTTAATCAGTTTGCTTATTATTTTCCCTGCTGAGATGAACATCATCCTAAAGGCAGTCAGGGAATAAAAGAGCCTTGAATCCCATATTTTTGTTGCACAGCATTTGAAGGTTATTATCGTGCCCATAATTTAAAGAGTTGATGGATATGAAAACATATTAGTTAACAAACAGGACATTTATTTAAACACATGATTGGTAAAGGTTCCCCTTGCACATATGTGCTAGTTGTTTCCAGCTCTAGGGGGTGGTACTCATCTCTGTTACAAAGCCGAAGAGCCAGCGGTCTCTGAAGACGTCTCTGTGGTTATGTGGCCAGCATGACTAAATGCTGAAGGCGCACAGAATGCTGTTACCTTCCCACCAAAATGGTCCCTATTTTTCTACTTGCAAAATTTTTTACATGCTTTCGAACTGCTAGGTTGGCAGAAGCTGAGACAAGTAATGGGAGCTCACTCCATTATGCGGTGCTAGGGATTCGAACCGCTGAACTGCTGACCTTTCTGATCAACAAACTCAGCATCTTAGGCACTGAGCCACCACATCCCTTCCTTACAATATATAGCACCGAAATAAAAGCATTTTTTTTCATGGCTAATGATCATTCAAGTTACTTCATTTTTCCTTGTTTATGCATAAGATTTTTCCTATGTTTCAGCAGACAAATATGGGTATATTATCATGAAAAAAGACCTATCACATACTGTATTTAAGATTATATACTTGAGATATTCTACATACATTTCTTCGTTTCTTTCATTTTTAGATGAGATCTGAGCAAGAGTTCTGAGTTTTGGGGTCTATACTCCTGTAGATTATTTTAAGAAATTGATTTGAATTTAATCTTTGGAATCAAATAAAATGACTGAAGATGCATACTTATTTCTCTCCAGTGCTTTAATATTGTATTGTAATTAATCATTGTTACAGAACAGTGTTTTAGTCTGTTTGATAGTTTTTATATCCACTTTCTCCTCTTATGTTTGATGGTTAATGAATGAAAATTTAGGAATAGGATAAATAAACTGCAGCAGATTATGAAGATTTTTTTTCGAAGTAAATTAATTAATGAGAAATTCAATAGGGACATGATTTTTCATGGTGTATGACTATGTATGACTATGAGGTAGAATAAAAAAAGAATTGAACTTCAATCTGCATGAAACATATCTGGAGATTGACTTTATTACCTCTTAAAAACCTACTGAAATACACTGTTCTCTGCATACTGTATGATGATGGCAGTATGGAAACCAATCATTGTTAGAGCAAGCTGCTCACCTGATGTCAGAGCAATGTAGCTCCAAACTACCTTGAAACTTCTCCAATATTGCACAGATAATAATATCTGAATCAAGCCTCAGTGGATACTAATCAAAACTAAAGCACAGAAGGAGAATTTACATTTTATTGTTACTTTAACATTCAAACTAAGTTCCCTTTGAGTGAATTATTAATAAATTATATTAGTAAGTCCTCACAACCACAAATTCTATGCGAAAAATATCACTCAATCTTTTGACAAAAGGGTTACTCTGCATTATCCCTTAGTCCATTTAAGACCAAGAAGTAGACATACAATAACTTAAAATTTCTTACTGTTCAAATGGTAGTTAGAATCATTTAAAAATTAATTTCATTCCTATCTTTTGTAATCTCTGTGAACAATTTTGCATTTAGATAAGGATTTGTATATAAACTCTTTCATAGCACACCCAAAACACACCACACCCACAAGAACGTTTGGCAAATCACAAAGCACAATAAAATTACAAAATCAGA